GTACACACTTTATAAAAAAATAATACCCTTTAATTTACAGGGCCAAACTGGACACAATATTAACTTAAATCTTTAAACAATATAAATACAAGTAACATATGGTAATAATAAAACCAATATAAAATAAAAATTCATATTTACATAATATCAAATGAAACAATATTGTATCAAACAATTTAATAATACTGGAGATTAATAGAGATTACTAGCAGGCAGAGCTGCCAACTCTCACGCATTGAACGTGAGACTCACGCAAATGACCCTTTTCACACAGAAAAATAGCGGACAAAGAGGACACTGACACCGACAGACAAGACAGAGAAGGTTACTTTTGATATGGAACAAATCCACAGCTGTCAGATTCTGTCCATATTTTTACGAGATTCACACAATAAACAACGTTTTGGCTCTTTGAAATGTGACAGATCGCTGTAGCGCGTCAGTTCAAACGGCACGTGATACAGCAGCCTACAAATCCACTGCTTCTTAGCTACGCAGCGTTGAGTGAACCTATGAAAGAGAACATCTCTGGTTGGTGTAACATCTCTCAATAGGGAACGGGACGCTGCCAAGCTCCTCGCGCTGCCGACCAGCTTCCTTTTTCGGCAGAGAAATCTGAGGAGCAGATGGCGCGCGCGCGCCAACATAATATGACGACGTAAGTGCGTCGATGCGGCGCCCGCGCCATCAGCCAATGAATTGGCTTGATTCTATTTGGGATTCAGACTATCGGCACACTCAGAGGGCGTTCTGACACGTAATTCTACACGTGAAATGCAGCCAAACCTTGCGAGAAAGAGCGCGCATGCGAGACAGAAGAAACTGTGCTCCAAACTGTGTAGCGCACGGGCACGGCGGAGAGGGAGAGAGCGAGAGACCTTGCGTGTGTGTGTGTGCGTGTGTGCCTAATGAAGTTAGGCACCGAAATCAGGCACCGAAATTTTCGTTCTTATTCGGTCTGGTTACTACCGTTTACGTCGGAACCGGTTCCCTATTGGCACCGAGTTTCGGTACCCAACCCTATTTATTTGTTATAATATTGATGATTATGGCTTACAGCTTATGAAAACCCCAAATTCAAAATTTGTATATTGTGAAAAGGTTTTCATATCTGTAAGCCATAATCATCACAATTATAACAAATAAAGGCTTGAAATATCTCACTTTGCATGTAATGAGTCTATATAATATATTAGTTTCACCTTTTAAGTTGAATTACTGAAATAAATGAACTTTTGCACCATATTCTAATTTGTCGAGTTTCACCTGTACTTTTATAATGTGACATATTTCTAAAATGCAAACATGCAAAGGCATTTGAAACGTACATTTATACAATAGTTTGTAATAATTAAGCTTTGTTTATGTATTTGAATGAAGTCTCTTCTGCTGTGTTTATTTGAGAAATACAGTGCAAATTGTGAAATATTATTCCAAAGTTTTTTTTTTTTTCTATGTGAATATCTAGTAAAGTGTAATTTTTTCCTGTGAATTCTCAGCATCATTACTCCAGTCTTCAGTGTCACATGATCCTTCAGAAATCACTCTAAAATGAGGATCTGATGCTCAAGAAACATTTATGATTATTATCAATGTTAAAAACAGTTATGCTGCTTCATATTTTGTGGAAAAATGTATGCTCTATATGTGATTTGGATGGAATATTTATAAAAAGTATTGATTATAAACAGACTTATTTTATTAAGATCGATACAAATAGTTTAGTGCAATTAAAAAATGTCTATTTCTATTAATTTTATGTATTTATTTTTTATTTAAAAAGAGACAAAGAACATTAATCAACACTCAATGAACCCTGTGCTGTTGATATTTTATGTCAGATTAATGTGGAAACTGTCAATACAAAGTTTTGAAGTAAGATAAAAATACTTTCATTCATCAAGGATGCATTAAATCGATCAAAAGTGCAACCAAAATATGGTAATTATGATGGTAAATTAGCAGCTCTAAAAATAAGACTGATGACAATTAAAGATTGAAAGATAAAAAAAAGTTGTCTTGTGAATATGAATCATCCACAATAAAACCAGGAGTATATGAAAATAAACAGGGTTTGTGATGAGTTCATGTTGACTTCAGTAATCTTCCTAATCTAGTTAATATTATGAATATTGTTGCCTCGGTTACAAATTGCTTTTGTTGCTTTGAATAAGTGTCTGCTAAATGCCTAAATATAAGCGTAACAAAACCATAATCAATACAAACACACAACAACGACACGCATGAAGCTTGGTGAAGTTCCCTGCGAGTGTGTGTCGGGCAGCAGCTGAAGCAGTAAATCCTGGAGAACACACACCAGCTGCGGGATATTTCCGACACACACGGGTTTCAATTATTTTAGGTGAGGGTGAGTGTGTGTGAGTGTTTGTGTTAGTGTGTGTATGTCAGTGTGTGAGTGTTTGTTCATCTGTATTTGTGTGAGTGAGTGTGTGAGTTTGTGCTTGTGTGTGTGTGTGTGTGTGTGTGTGTGGGCTGTGAGAGTGGAATTGATTTTACTGACGCTCAACTGCGTGTTTAACAAGTGTTTGACAGTAGATCGCTTCTCCACGTCTCAGACTTCGCTAAATGCCTCACCAACGAGCAAAAACCTAGAAGCAGCGACACACACACGTCAAGCTCATCACACACACACGTCAAGCTCATCACTCTCTCACACACACACACACACGCACACACACACGTCAAGCTCTGCTGCTTCATCACTTTATACACGCTAAAGCACAATGAACCGCTCGATCATCATATTCCATAACCTAGCATATTCGACATGTTGTACATTCGATTGTCTTATAATTATGATTCACAATTGTTTCATCATATTAATGCTCTTTTAAAAGTTAATTTGTCACCACATTTGACAGGTGATCAGAAACTTTTCAGTTACCAAAAAAAACCACACAAACAAACATTTTAACAAAAATCTTGTTTTGCGTAGCCATGCATATTTTAAATATGAGCTGAAATGGTCTCTGAAAGTCAATTTTACATCTTAATAAAAGTTTATGAATCATCCAAATTAAATATTCAACATGAAATTGATGTGCTGCTGTGTGGCAAACTTCCTAAAACTATTTCAAACAGCATTTGTATTCATCTTTTTATCAGTATGATTCGTGATTATTCATCATATTAATGGACAGACTTTTAAAAGTTCATGTGTCACGGCAGGAGATTTGAAACTGCATAAACATTTCAACCTAAAACTCCCATGACATGTTTTGCATCAACGACACATCAAATAGACTCTGAAAGTCATTTTTACATTTTAACAAAACCTTATAAAGATAAAAATGTCTTCTTAAAATTAATCGCTCACAATTCGTTAAGAGTCCTGACATGAATTTGAAACTCCCTAAACAGTATTTTTATGATTCTTTCATAATTACTCCTATTAATTGACACACTACTTTTGTATCTTTACATCTGTCGCCTCAGGAGCATTTAACAGACTTTCCAGATTCCTAAAACACACACAAACACAGTCAAATCAATGTGTATCCAGACTCCTTCAACATTTCTCACACTATCACAGTTTATTCGCTATAGTTTAGAAAATGGTATTAAATATGAGCAGAACTGTTGATATTTGACTGGTTTTGTCCGTCCTTCTGTTAGACTCACACACATGAATTATGTTGAATATCTGTCAGCTGTTAAATTTAACTACACAATTAGATAATACCAGTTTAGCTCAACCAGTGGCCAAGCAATGCTTCATGTTGTTCAGTGTGTGTGTAAAAAGAGCATTAGCAATTACAGAAAACACACTTCAGCAAAACATGATCAGCTCAAAGTGGAGGAATCATTTTTGGTCCCAAATGTTTACTGTATGAAGAATTTTGGGGTATAATATGTCACATTTTACTTTATTTTGCTCTCCTCACTTACATAAATGAACTGTAGTGTCCTGCACACACTAGAGAAAAAATATCAAAAATTATATAATCTGGTGTCTGAATAATTTTTGGTTCGACTATTTCAACCTAAAACTCGCGCTCTGTGTGACGAGCCATGCATGTTTGAAACAGAATGTATTTTATATAGTTACATACTTGGTGCATATTTGGCACTGCATTATCCCATTTGATTATAAAATATATATAAATATATTTGATTATTTGAACACAAATAAGAGTTTAAATAGTGACAAAAAGCATAGATTAACACATTGTGTACCAATATTAATAAACAACAAAAACAGAAAAAAAAACATTAAACAAACAAACCACAGTCAAAAAAAAAAAAGTCAGTTGTTCATTTGTAAAACAACCATCAGAAAAACCAAATCGTCCTCTAACCCATCAGGCCCAACTGTCCTAGGACTGGTTAAGAAACGACTCGCTTTGATATCCGGAAAGAGTGCACTCCACAACTTCCAACACGCATTTGAACACTTCTTGAGGGAAAAAATCATATATTTTCTAACTTAATAAAATAAAGACCATCTGATCGCCAACGAGAATGTGAAGGGGGTATTCCCACAAATGTGACCCTAAATTTAAATTGACATTTATACATCTTAAAGCTGAATAAATAAGCTTTCCATTGATGTATGGTGTGTTAGGATAGGACAATATTTTGCTGAAATACAACTATTGAAAATCTGGAATCTGAGGGTGCAGAAAAATCGAAACATTGAGAAAATCGCCTTTAAAGTTGTGCATTTATGTTCACGATTATGCAGCATTCACTCACAAAATTAAATGTTTTATATATTTACAGTAGGAAATTTACTAAATATCTTCATTGAACATGATCTTTACTTAATATCCTAATGATTTTTGGCATAAAAGAAAAATTGATAATTTTGACCCATATCATGTATAGTTGGCTTTTGCCACAGATACACCCGTGCGACTCGTGACTGGTTTTGTGATCCAGGGTCACATCTATTCTAAACATGGAACATGCCGTGCCTCGAAAGCTGTGTCCGTCCCAGACTGAAGGTGAACAACAGAAAACACTGAGACTCACCCTGAGCGTACGAGTGCATCATTCCCAGCAGAACCAATAGTGGCGTCCAGCGTCTCCCAGTCCCAACCTGTCGCTCCATCCCAGCCCGTGCGGTCAGGGCATGGAAACACACACTCACACACACTCCTCCCTCCACAGTTACTCCACACTGACGGTCGGCCTGCGATGCACAGAGAGAGAGAGAGAGGGTGTTACTCTCTCGCTGCGTTTGGGACGGCCCCTTCACTCCGGACACCTTGTGGAGAGACAATAAAAGCAGAAGTTGATCTCGACCGGGACCCTCCTCACACACACACACACACACACACAGGAGAGAGGGAGGGCCGATGAAAGGAGGTCGACCCCCAGCGCTCGGCGGGTCACGTGACCACGGCGCAGTAACTCCTCCTGTAACAGTTTATTAGCTAGAATTCACTTCAGTAAAATAATTGCCTGTGCAAAACTTTTTTTTAATAAAATTTTTCTCCAGACATATAAAAGGTACTCCAAAATTTACAAAATTAGACAAGGTATCTGAATAAATAGATGTAAAAGCAATAAAAAAAAAAAAAAAATTGTGCATTTGTTTGGAAACTGAAACCTAATACCGGTACTTGAGGTTTGATCACATCATTATGAGCTCTAGTACTAGTGATGATTGAATTAAAGGAGTAGTTCGCTTCAGAATTAATATTTCCTGATGATTCACTCTCCCGCTCGTCATCCAAGATGTTCATGTGTTTCTTTCTTCAGTGGGAAAGTAATGAAGGTTTTTGAGGAACACACTCCAGGGTTTCTCCATATAGTGTCTTCAATGGTCCAACGGGTCGAAGGTCCAGATGTGAGTTTCAGTGCAGCTTCAAAGTCTCGACACGATCCAGCCGAGGAATAAGAGTCTGATCTAGACAAACCAGCCGACATTTATAACAAAATACACATTTAAACACTTTTAACCACTAATGCTGGTCTTGCTCTAGCTGTGATGCGACACACATTACGCAATCACGTTGAAAGGTCAAGCGTGACGTAGGCGTAAAATGTAGGATAGGGCGAAAAACTCCATCTTATTTTCTCCACCAACTTCAAAATCGTCCGACATCATTGTTTTACCTTTTTTTTTTTTGTAAATGGCGTTTGACTTAGTCTTTGCAAGTTCGCTTTATAAACACTGGGTCGGTTCTTCCGCCTACGTCACGCTTGACCTTTCACCCTGATGACGTAATGTGTGTCGCATCACAGCTAGTGCAAGACCAGCATTAGTGGTTATGTAAACAACTATAGTTATCAACACTGTAAACTAACAGTTCATGGAAAAGGTAGTTTGACATCAAAAACATGAAAGCAAGTTTCCCTGCATGTCTTCTCACTCAGAGGGCTGTAAAACTAAGGGCTGGTTAAGCATTTCCACACTTCCCCTTTAGGGTGCGAGAGGTTGATTGACAGCTCATTATGTGTGGGATAAAGAACACAAAGCATCCGGTGAAACACAACAGTGCCTGAGAAAAGCCATTGATACGTCAGGTGATGTGGGACTCTCACCTCGGGCCACGGCACGCCTCCTCTCGCCCGGGTCTCAGCCAAACCTACACTCACTGGGCGCGTTTCCATTACAGATTTGCGCAAAACTGTTTAGATTTTTTTCTAAATATCGATAAAAAACTATTTGTGGCATTTCCATTAACCAATGTTATGCAACTAAAACGTCATTTTTTCCTCTCGCGATCAGTCATTCCCAAAATCATGGCAACGGGCGTTGGTAGGTAATATATATCAGAGCCACCGCACTAGACATTATTATTATTATTAATGGAAGGAGACGTGTGTGTGTGTGTGTGTGTGTGTGTGTGTGTGTGTGTGTGTGTGTGTGTGTGTGTGTGAGTGCGTGTAAGTGTGTGTGCGTGTAAGTGTGTGTGTGTGTGTGTGGGTGTAAGTGTGAGTGTGTGTGTGTGTGTGTGTGTGTGTGTGAGAGTGTGTGAGTGTGTGTGTGAGTGAGTGAGTATATGTGAGAGAGTGAGTGAGTGAGTGTGTGCGTGTGTGTGTGTTTGTCTGTGTGAGAGAGAGAGAGAGAGAGAGAGAGAGAGAGAGTGAGTGTGTGAGTGAGTGTGTGAGTGTGCGTCTTTGTGTGTGTGTGTGTGTGTGTGAGTGAGAGTGTGTGAGTGAGTGAGTGAGTGCGTGTGTGTCTGTGTGAGTGAGAGTGTGTGAGTGAGAGTGTGTGAGTGAGTGAGTGTGTGATTGAGTGTGTGTGTTTGTGTCTCTGTATGTGTGTGTGTGTGTGAGTGAGTGAGTGAGTGAGTGAGTGAGTGAGTGAGAGTGTGTGAGTGAGTGTGTGAGAGTGTGAGTGAGTGAGTGAGTGAGTGAGTGTGTGCGTGTGTGTCTGTGTGTGTGTGTGTGTGTGTGTGTCTGTGTGTGTGTGTGAGTGAGAGAGTGTGAGTGAGAGTGTGTGAGTGAGTGTATGTGTGTGTGAATGGATGTTTGTGGATGAGTTGAAAACAAAAAGAAAGTGCAGCAGGGACAGCAGAGAGGCTGCTGGGAGTTCAGTGGGGCGGCAGTGATGTGTTAACGCTGTCAGCGCTCGTTTGCTGTGATTACATGTGATCGGAGCTGTGAGTAGGTCAGGCCCGCTCACACACACTCACACACACTCGCTGCGAGCTCCATCAAACGCCCAGCGTGAGGCCGCTCGAGCCCTGCTGAAAAATGGGCCGTCCGAGAGAAGCGAGGGGCCGCAAGATCCGATTCCACAACACACACTCCTGCCAGAACCACACACACTCCTCCCAGAACCGGCCCTGAAATATCAATCACTATCACAGGATAATGAGCGCCTCAATCCTGCAGAAAACTGAAGAAACCGGCCAAAGAACAAAGGGTTACACTTTATTTCGATAGTCCACTTTAGACATCCCACATTTCACAAAGCTATTTTAGAGCGGTCTATAGTGTTAGACAAGTCTAATATGTGCTCATAGACTAGTCTAATGCAAGTTAGACTGTTTCACAAAAATAAAGACTGACTTAATTTAGACCAAAACTCAGGTCTAAGACTCTGTTACCTTGGCAACCAGCAGTAACAATCAGTTACCTTGGCAACCAGCAGTAACAATAAATCAGTTACCTTGGCAACCAGCAGTAACAATCAGTTACCTTGGCAACCAGCAGTAACAATCAGTTACCTTGGCAACCAGTAGTAACAATCAGTTACCTTGGCAACCAGCAGTAACAATCAGTTGCACTACAAACAGCCGAAAGAAAAGGGGAAATGGCCGTTACCAAATGCCGCTCAACGGTCGGATTAACGCTGTTAACTGTCGTAGCAATCTTTGTCCAAATGAAACATTTCTTCTTGTTTCTACATTCTCTGCTAAATCTCCCCAGTAAAATGTCCTTGTAACTGTTACACTCCTCCAACACACACATATCTCCCGCTGGGGTAAACTGCGCCGAGCGGGTGAATGCGCTCACTCGATCCGCCATGTTTTTTGTTTTGAAAAGTGTCTTATTTTACCCAGAATGCATTGCAGTGTAGTCCTACTTAAGATAGTCAGAGTCTTCAGTGCTTTGTGGAACGGTCTGATGTAGACGTCTATCTGAAGTCTAACTCTCTACTATATCTAAGCCGTAGTCAAAGTCTCTCTTTGTGAAACCGGCCCCTCTCAACTAACGCTCATTAGAGTATTAGTAGTGTTAGGTTAGGAGAATAAGTTGAATTGTAGTGGCTAATAAGTTACTTATAGTCTCTAGAATATCTGTTGAGGAGCATCAAAATAAAGAGTTAGCAGATATTAAGCAGAAAGTCTACTAATACTCTACTGAGAGTTAGTTGACATGTAGTTGCAAAGTCACTTATAGTTAGTAGAATGTCAAAAGTGGACTATCGAAATAAAGTGTAACCAAACAGAGCACTTCTGTCTTCACTCAAAATCCAAAAATCACAAATAAATATCATATAAGATAGTAAGGTTCACCCAAACTTTCTCTCCCTCATGTTGTTCTAAACTTGTTTCTTTCTCTCAGTGGAGAAACTGTCTTTTCCATTCACTGAAGCCATTCAGTTCAGCACCAGAACACAGTATAGAGATGTCATCTCTATCTCGCGTGTTCTCCTCGTGTTGTTCCTCGTTTGTAAGTTGTTTTGGGAAAAAGCGCATGCAAGAGGAATACATGCAACTGTACACGTTTAGGGGCGGTGAGGGTTTTTATGTTACTGAAAGAGTCTCTTCTGCTCACCAAAGATGCATTTATTTGATAGAAAATGCAGTAAAAATAGTAAATATTATTACAATGTAAAATAACTGTTTTCTATGTGAATATATCATAAAGTGTAATTTATTCCTGTGAATTCTCAGCATCATTACTCCAGTCTTCAGTGTCACATGATCCTTCAGAAATCACTCTAATATGATGATCTGATGCTCAAGAAACATTTATGATTATTATCAGTGTTGAAAACAGTTCATATTTTAGTGGAAACCGTGATACAATACATTATACTTTGATGAATAGAGAAAGTCCAGGATTTATTGGAACTGTCTTTACCGTCACTCTTCATTAATTTAATGCATCCGAGCCAAACAAAATTACTACTTTCTTTAAAAAACAAAACTTTAATTAGTAGTGTACACATACAGTACATGCAAAGATCTTCTGAAGTCAAATGCCTTGATGCACATATTTAAATGGCTTTATGGTTCAGAAGTCTGGATAATAAAGTTTTAATAAACATTATTTTTGAGTGCACTATCCATTTATGTGGTTTTATTGCTGTTAAATTCCTCTATATTATATTCCTCTATCCCCCACAGCGGCTTCAATAACTTTGAACAGACGTGTATGCCACATTGTTGCAAAAACATGCACAAGACAAAGCTATTTTTATGTGTGTTGGTATATGTGGGTAATATGGATGAATAGTTTGTTTTCTATGAGAGATATCAAATTTCGTTGTATACCAAACTAAAAACTAAAACTAAAATGAACCAACAAACACACAAAAGGTTCACGTTGACTTGCATGAGAAAAAGCAAGCGGTGTGGATTTACAGCCAGACGTCTCTGTCGCTCACACACTGCTGGAAAATCTCTGAGACAACCGCAAAATTCACACAACTCAAGTGAAGAACAAAGGACGCGGGCACCAGCGGTGGCGAAGGCACGACTCTCGAGTTACAAAAGCCGAGGGAAC